ATTACCTCTTCCTCACTGGATAACCTAACAAATAATCAAGCAATGTGCTCTTGCTTGTATCAATTTTAGAGTTGCATTTATCTAATGCAACATTTGCTTTTGTGTTTAGCTTTTTTTGTACATATAACTCTTGTGCCACACATTCAAATTCTGTTGCTGCAAAGTTCCTCCTATTGGCTACACACCCCAGTATATGTCTTTTTCCATCTTTACATTGCCATATTTCCTGTGAGATTGAACTGAAACCAAATAGGGCTGAAACAATGAATCAGATTAATTGATTATTAAAATAATCAACAACAAATATAGTTATTGATTAATTGTTAAATTAACTATAGAGACTGTAAAGCATGCCTTTGGCTGACAGAGGAACCCACTTAGAGCAGTAATTACATCAAGAAAATATATAAACATTTTGCATTTAAGATTAAAAACAAAATGTTTTCATCTGTCAATATTCTCTATCCAGAACTCCTTAAGTGGAAAAGTTTTAGTTTCACCTGGTTTCATTTCGTTAAAAAAACTTTGGCTACCCAATTATTAATCGATTATTCCAAAAAATAATCAACAAATGAATCGATTTGCCAAATAATCGTAAGTTCCAGCCCTAAAAACAAGGAAATCATAGAAAATAGTAACGTAAAAGGTAAACTATTATGTCAGATGTTTTTAAAGTATTTTTTCATTAAATTCTAAAGTTTTATTTGATGGAAGCCTATCAGTATCTTACATCAGACAGTCTTCAAAGCATTTATTTTCCTCCACCCTCTTCATATGGCTCAACAGGTTTCTATCTGAAGTTAAGTTTAAAACCACTCTTCCTGTGACTAAAATCTATGCATGGATTTAGAGTAATGTTTGAAAAACAAGATCACTTTCCAGCTTCAGCTTTTTGAAGGTTATAAATGTTTTTGGTCAAATCTTAGTTTATATCAACCTTGACAAAAAAAAAACTAGTCCCATCTGAAAAAAGGAAAACCCATATCATGATACTGTCACCGCCGTATGCTGTTATGATAATGGTGTTCTTTTGGCTGTTTGCTCCATTGTTTTTTTTCCAAACTCTCTCTTTGAATGTGCCCAAATGTTTCAAGTCTTGTTCTATCAAACACGGTTTTGAAAGATTTTTCTTTTTGCAAAAAAAAGATTTTTGTCTATCAGGTGTCCACCACTGTCCAGACATATTGAGACCAATGATTGTCACATGTTAGTGCTGAGGACACATTCTAGAGAGCTTCTTCGATGTTACTTTCAAGCTCTTGGCAGAAGTCCTGGCCTGCTTCCATCTCGTCTTTTTATCAGTTATGGAGGAAACACTCAGTTTATTATTTCCCATTGTTGTTGCATATTTCAATTGCTTATCTTCTTCTCTGGTCTGCAATGGAAATATGCTGTTGATTTTCTATACTATATGTCTAATGATTTTATTCTGATTCTTTATAGCCTCTCTGCAAATTTTAGCTAAAGAATTCAAATGATTATGTGACAAGAAAATCCTTGCAAGTGGCACAAGATGCTGAGTCTTATGTCAAGTCAGTCAGATTTTCTACAAATGATTGAAGCTCTGTATCAAACTGGAACGAGAGCTGCAATTGAACCTTAAGCTGGGTTTTTTTTTTTATATATATATAAGATTCAGCACATTAGTCTGTGGCTTTTTTATTTTTTGCATTTTTCCTTCAGCCAGTTTCAGTTCTTTTTAAGTTTAATGACAGGGCATATGTTAGATTTAAGTTGGAGAAATATCGAGAATAGCTTATCTTAATCTGTTTAACATGGATGGACAGTCACTTGAAACAGGACTTTTATTGACCAGGTATTCCTTTTTAGACCCTCTGTGTTACTTTTATTAGAAAATGTATTTAACCAATTTTGTCATTTTCTTTTCTGTGGCTTAATAACCCTGGTAAATACCCGTGGTGCTGTACATACTCATATATGACAGAGGAGGTTGCTGTTGTCTTTTACATTTTTCTAATAGATTATGTGGTTTGTAGTCGATTCCATGTTGTGATATAGCAAATGTCGACTCACTGAGAAAAAAATATGTTTGGAGAATAAAGCAACTGTTCTAAAATGCATATAATGCATATAAATAAGCAAACACATGATCCCTCTGACTGCAATCCTACAGCTCGCAGACAGTGCGAGGAGCGTGGTTAGATTACCTAATCATAATATCCCCCAAAGGTCATGTTTTTCTATCTTAATGTTATTCTCTCTCACATAAATCTACTTTTCACATACATGGTAGTGAACATAACTATTGTGAGCTAAAATATGGAACTACACAAAAATGTATAAAACAAAATATGCCTTTCTAGTCTGGATACAGACATTACTGGACTGACAAGGCATCCATCCTATTTCTGCAGCTCATATGCATTTGTAATGATATTCTATTTGGTATTATGCTGACAAAAGCCGAATTTATGAGTTAAAAGTAGTTATTTATGAATATTAGAGGTATATAAACGAAACTTTGTTTTAGATATATAAATATTGGTTTTATCTATTAATTTATCACATTTGTTGGTTGCTTTTGGTCTGGGTTCCTAGAAGTCAAGGAGAAATGTCAAATTGTATGCATTTTTTAATGCCTGAACAGAATCTGTAGCCCAGTTTTTCTTAACTCTGGTCCTTAGGGCCCATTGTGCTACATACAGATGCATCTAAAACACGAAGGACAATGAGCCTGAGGACCAGGATTAAGAAACCAAGAAGTAACATTCAGAGAATTTATTTAAAAGTAAATTAGTGTTGCAGGAACAGGAACTGACTGCAACTGGAACCACTATGGGGAGGAGAAAAGGGTTAGTGGCCCAGAGCAACTCGGTGGGGTTGAAGGTGCCCTCAATCAAAGCCACTAACCTTCTCAGGAGTCAGGAGGGTGTGTTGATCTGAATATTGATCCCAGTGGCTCCATTTTTGATTCAAATCGCTGTTTGAATCATGTTGAAGGTGCAAGTTGGGAAAATGTTAGTGTGCCTGGGGCCATGCATAGAGAAGCAGTCCACAGGGTAGACGTTTCCAGAGGGACAGAGGTATATGAGGGTAGTCCTAGGTAACACAGGATGGACAGAATGCAGACAGCCGCAGAGGCAAACCGACTTGGTCAGGAGGGGATGTCCAGAGATTAGAGGCCCAAATAATGATTGGATAGGGGAACGGTAGGCAGGAGAAAACTGGAAAGGAACAGGTCGACATCTGGAGCTCAAAAACAAAGATTGCTGGATGGTCTATCTACATGAATGGCTTTTGAGAATCTGGTGGTTGCCCATGGGGAATATACACTCACCGGCCACTTTATTAGGTACCCCATGCTAGTAACGGGTTGGACCCCCCTTTTGCCTTCAGAACTGCCTCAATTCTTCGTGGCCTAGATTCAACAAGGTGCTGGAAGCATTCCTCAGGGAGTTTGGTCCATATTGACATGATGGCATCACACAGTTGCCGCAGATTTGTCGGCTGCACATCCATGATGCAAATCTCCCGTTCCACCACATCTCAAAGATGCTCTATTGGATTGAGATCTGGTGACTGTGGAGGCAATTCGAGTACAGTGAACTCATTGTCATGTTCAAGAAACCAGTCTGAGATGATTCCAGCTTTATGACATGGCGCATTATCCTGCTGAAAGTAGCCATCAGAAGTTGGGTACATTGTGGTCATAAAGGGATGGACATGGTCAGCAACAATACTCAGGTAGGCTGTGGCGTTGCAACGATGCTCAATTGGTACCAAGGGGCCCAAAGAGTGCCAAGAAAATATTCCCCACACCATGACACCATCACCACCAGCCTGAACCGTTGATACAAGGCAGGATGGATCCATGCTTTCATGTTGTAGACGCCAAATTCTGACCCTACCATCCGAATGTCGCAGCAGAAATCGAGACTCATCAGACCAGGCAACGTTTTTCCAATCTTCTATTGTCCAATTTCGATGAGCTTGTGCAAATTGTAGCCTCAGTTTTCTGTTCTTAGCTGAAAGGAGTGGCACCCGGTGTGGTCTTCTGCTGCTGTAGCCCATCTGCCTCAAAGTTCGACGTACTGTGCATTCAGAGATGCTCTTCTGCCCACCTTGGTTGTAACTGGTGGTTATTTGAGCTCGAACCAGTCTGGCAATTCTCCTCTGACCTCTGGCATTAACAAGGCATTTCCGCCCACAGAACTGCCGCTCACTGGATGTGTTTTCATTTTCGGACCATTCTCTGTAAACCCTAGAGATGGTTGTGCGTGAAAATCCCAGTAGATCAGCAGTTTCTGAAATACTCAGACCAGCCCTTCTGGCACCAACAATCATGCCACGTTCAAAGTCACTCAAATCACCTTTCTTCCCAATACTGATGCTCGGTTTGAACTGCAGGAGATTGTCTTGACCATGTCTACATGCCTAAATGCACTGAGTTGCCGCCATGCGATTGGCTGCTTAGAAATTAAGTGTTAACGAGCAGTTGGACAGGTGTACCTAACAAAGTGGCCGGTGAGTGTATAGTGCTCCTTTTAGGTGCAGCACCTCCAGGTAATTGAGCTGCTGTGGGTGTAACTGCTCAGACCTGATTGCCAGTACAGCAGAGGTAGCAGAGAGTGACATTATGGGACTGTACACTGCAACTTTTCTTTTTTATTTCTTTAGATTATGTGGACAGAATTGAGTTTATTTCTGATCACTGTGATCTCTTTCTCTGCTATTTCTTTAAATATATTTAATATATACTTATTGAATGTTCCTTGGTCCAGTATGATTACATTAATTTATGTTTTATTCTCATATGTTATGCTCACATTTAAAAGTAAGCCAAAATTTCTGTTGGGCCTTGAGTCCAATATATTTTAACTACAATTTATTGGACAGATTTTTCCATGAAGGAACTAATTATTCATTCAATTTTTTCTCAGTTGTGCTATATTGAAATAAGTTCTAACAATAGTATTAATGTTTTGTTGATATGAGAGCTCTGTGGTCAAACCATCTGACTCCTAGTTTGCTGTTCACAGGGCCGCTGCACACGAGAAAACTGCAAGTACCTGCACCCACCTCCGCACCTGAAAACCCAGCTGGAGATCAATGGAAGAAACAACCTGATCCAGCAAAAGGCCGCGGCTGCCATGTTGGCTCAACAGATGCAGTTCATGCTGCCCGGGGCACAGCTGCAGCCAATTGTGAGCAGTTTACACGAAAGCACACACTAAAACAACGACTGAAACTGATCTAAGATTGTGCTCACAATTCTGTGGTTTTCATAATATTCATTTAATTTATTCTCCTGCTGGGCTGCTTTTAATTTGCCTCGTGGCTGATTCAACAGCCCAGCAGCGAGCGTGCCTTTCTGAACAAATGTCCGATTGTTCTAGCATGACAAACAACAGCTGGAGTTAGATTGAAGTCTTACACATTTCAATGAAGTCAAATTAGTATATTAGTCAACTGTATGCATTCCAAAAAGCAAACAGTAAACCTGCAGATGTAATAAGAAATACCAAATTAAAGGTTTTGTCTTCTGGAAAGCAAAATATATAGAAATTAAAATGCTTAAAATTAGGGATGTAGTGACAAGCTGTTTGTGGCTTTTCTAAAAATTTTGGTTTCTATAAATATGAATCATTTAACTCTCCATTGAACATCTACGCTTTAAAATGCCTGTTTGCTTAAACTGATTTCTATATAGCTGAAAGTCTTACTTGCTTTTCTATTCAACTATCCTTTGTACCGAGCACATTTCAGCTGGAGACTTCTTACAATGCCTTAAGTAAGAATAATATAGATAACTGTTTTGTTTTCTCTGTGGTTCATTTTGCTCCAAGACAACCTTTCCTGTCAACCCTTCCCTTGCAACCAGTCCCAGCATGGCATTTAGTCCATATCTGAGCCACATGGGCCCAGCCATGGGCCTGATGCCGGAGCTACTGCCCAGTACTCCCCTTCTCGTCCCCGGGAGTCCCACTAGCCTGACAGCAATGGGCAACGGCACCTCGGCTCAAAAACACGCCCGCACAGACAAGCTTGAGGTATGCAGTCCATGTACAGTTGTTGTGCTTCTATGTTTAGTCAAAGAACGATGAAAGGAAAATGTTGATCGGTGTTCTGGCGGCCCTGGCAGGTTTGCAGAGAATTCCAGCGTGGTAACTGCACACGAGGAGAAAGCGACTGCCGCTATGCTCACCCTCTGGAGGCCGGCATGGTGGACTGCAGCGAGAACTCTGTCATTGTGTGCATGGACTACATAAAGGGACGCTGCAGCCGGGACAAGTGCAAATACTTCCACCCACCGGCTCACCTTCAGGCCAGGATCAAGGCTTCACAGCACCAAGCCAGTCAAAACACAGTGCCTGCTCCCTTGGTGGGTTATTCACTGAATTGTGATAAGAGCACATACCAGAAATTCCCAGTCCTTGTAAGGGTTCAAGATTGTTAAGGTTTTTCTAATTTTGTATATTGCATCATCTCCCACCAGATTATACAGTCTTGTTTTATCCTATATTTATATATTTGTCTATAAAAAAATCTCTCCACCGCAGTGGCATGAAGTTTTGTCCAGGGGGGGTTATAAATTCAAAATAGACGTATACCAAAAACCAATCAACACTTTATAAAAACAAAACATAATTTCGTGAATAGGTTCGCTTTTTGTACATAAATGTTGCCCTTCTGAGGCTTTATGAAGGCAAATTCAGCTTTATACTGTTTAATATATAAAAACAATTTATTTTCTCAGAATTTTTATTTAAGAGCAAATATGCAAATTAACAAATATCTAGAAAAAGTATACTATAATATATCATTTTCCATGTGAATCCCAGATTGTTCATTCTTCTTTGCCTTTTCTAAAAAGTGCTTTAATCAGACTTACCTGTCTTTATCCATGCTGGGTTAGATGCTTACGTTTGAAAAAGGTAAAGTAGAAAGGCAGAGGAAGCAGAATAAAGCCTTAGCCTCTCTCCATGCAGTTAGCCAAGCCTTATAGCTAAACCAGGTCCTGAAAAAAAAGTTTTTTTAGACCATTTCTCTCTCTCTCTGATGCGTCTCCAACTCCCAAAACTCGACTTGTCAATCACCTGCAAAACATTTGCGCTTGTGGCTCGAGGTGGTGAGCAAATTCACTTCCTGTCAGCTCAGGGGGCCACAGAGCTGTGCCCTGAGCTCTCCTATACCTTTGTATTGGAAACAAACTACTGTGAATGTACAACTTTTAACAAATTTTTTTTGCCCTAGGGCAGAAATACATGATCAATCAGACTTGTCATTAAAGATTAAATATTTATCTTGCACATCTAAAAAAACAATGTCAAAATATTTTTAATTTTTATTTAAAATTTTATTATAAAAAAATATATATATTTTTAATGTCTTAATCAGGGTCATTGGGTGGGTGGGGCGGTGCACTATTGCCCTCTATTGACCAGCTGCCACTGCTCCACCGTATCTCTTAACGTATCCTGATGATAAGAAATAAGCCAAATATTGTATGTACATATATTATAAGGAGCAAGAATTTAAGAAGCACTGAAAATAAATTATATTCTGTCTTTCTTTCTATTTTTCTTGTTTAAAGAAGCATATTATTTTGCGATTTATTCAATTCAAAGGCATTGGAATAAATCAGAGACATTGTTCTTAAGCATTATATCTGACATGCTTATTTCCACCCCGTGCTTTTTATTATGATACTTTTCTTATTTAAAAGGAAATTAATTGAATAAGAAAGATATAAATTAAAAGGACACACATTTTATTTTTTCATGTGAAAAAGTTGGCATTGTGTAAGGCCTTTATTAATCAGTCTTAAGTTTTAGGTCAGTGGGAGGAGAGTTCCAGTTTAGGGCCTTGAAAGAGAAACAAGACTGTTTAAATGATGTGTTCAGTGTTGAAACTATGGAGTCCTTCCTTACAGAGGTTTGGATGGAAGGTCTGAGAGTGCCTTAACTATAAACCATTTTTTAAAATGTGAATCAATGGATCTTATGGATGGATGAAGATATGTCAGGGTCAGGCTGACATTATATCCTAAAAATAATATTACTTAGAATTTCCTCACATGAGTACTTCACAATGGCCTATTCTTGGAGAATGGAAACATGCTGTAATTGCTCTTGTTTTGATTTGCCCATCAAGTGTTTATGTATGCTTTAACTTTGTGCTACAGTGCCCTCTGGTGCCTGGAGAGATACTTACAATGTAGGAGGATGTAGAAATGTAAACTTTGCAATTATCCAGATATTACTTTAGGATCATTTAATACCTAATTTATGTAAATTAAAAGTCTGTATGTATTCTGTGTTTTATTCTTTTAAACTCTCCCTCTGGCCAGGCTTTGGCTCCAGCCACCGTGCAGTCGCTGCCAAAGAGGCCGATCTTAGAAAAGAGCAATGGAGCTGCTGCTGCAGTCTTTAACCCTAGCATGTTCCACTATCAGCAAGCCCTGGCTAACATGCAGCTCCAGCAACCAGCCTTCATCCCCACTGGTGAGTGTGGATGCAACATCAGGAGCATCCAATAACACATACAGTAGAAGCATAAACCTGACATTTGAATACATGCATTATACGAATGCAGACATGACCTTGGTACTATTGTATGGCAACACCTTTGGAAATCATGTAAAATATTAAATAAATCAACCAAGATATGAGAATGAGACTTGTAGATCTCCACAAATATGCTTCATACAGGGGTAACCTTTCCAGATGCATGAAAGTACAACATTTAGAACAGTCACCTGCAAACATAAACAGCATGGAAATGTCCAGCCACCATATTGCTCAGGAGGAGGCAGGTTTTGTGTCCCAGTCATCAAGTTGTTTTGGTGTCAAATATGGACATGAAACCAGAATTTACCTTTGGGATCAAGCAACTATATTTGAATTTAATTTCATTTCATTGTAACAAAAAATGAATAAATAAAGGCCTCATGAGGCCTGTTTTTATATATGGTAAAAGAGAGTCATTATCTACATTGAAGTTATTATACAGGCATGGTTTACAATGCAACATGGAAAAAGGAACTTTTAAGGAGTAAAACATAATACAGTTTGCAAATAAACTAAAGACCTTATTTAGACGGAACTAAGACTGGTGTTTATCCATAATTAGCTGTGTGACATCTTGATCAAAAAGAGGAATGCCTGAGAACGCCATCCCAGCAGTGGGATACAGAGATGTCAGCTTTATATTTGCTTGGTGTTTTGTTGCAGGAGCGAATGGCACTCATCCCAAATTAGATAAAAAGAAAAGAACATTGGGCCACATGCAGGAACCATTTCTACCATTTAAATCACTCATACAGGCACATATGGCACATTTACCATTTTCTCCTACTTCTAATCTCTCAGATATGAATTAATTTTACGAGTGCTCTCGACTTGACAAGTCTTGCCTTATCAGTCAGATGTTATCTAAACCCAGTTTTCACTCAATGACTACATTTGTTTTACTGAGAAGCAATTGTCCATTTATGTTAGGCTGCATCAGTTCATATTATGCAACTCCACAATTATAAATTTCATTTTTATTCACTAATCATAGAACTATCAGTCACTACACCTGCAGCTAGCATGTCGGTATCCAGGAGAAACTGGTTTAAACTGTTGTCATTTCGTCAAAAACTGAGACCGGTCAGTAGCAAGCTCTATGAGAAGCTACTACTGAAATAACATCTGGAACAAAAAATGAATGAAAATTTAAGAATAAAGTTCAGCAACTTTTTGCTTTAAACTCCTTAAATGTTAAAACATGCATTCATTTCACTTCATGGCAGCTCCTTGGCTTTGTTATTACATAAAATGTGGAATGTTTGGGTCTGTCTAAAATGCTAAAATTAGAGTTTCATGATTAACATTTTTATGTTTATGTGTTGTATGAGAGATAGAGAGTGTGATGAAGGGACGAAAGACGTGATGTGGAGATGTACAACACATACATGTGTATCAGAAGGACATTTAGTAGAATGTTGTTGTGTTGGTTGATCTTGAACTCATATTAAGTATCATCATATGTTGCACCTCTTCACTCCATCAGTAGTTTTTAAGTGACTATTTTTGGATCAAATGTTTTTTATTATTATTATTAGTTAGTTTTTTTTTACTTCTGTATCAGTGCTACCACATCATTTAATGCTCTTCTTATTTATTCCTCATTACTGGCCTTTACTGCTGCTCAGTTCTCAGTCAGCAGAACCTCAATCTCCAAACGGGTAAAGTCTCTCTGCTTCGTCTTCAATGCCATTATAGTGAATAAGTGTGCGGAGTTTTAGCCTTATATGGTATAATTGGGGAGGATTATTTATTAACATTTACTAAAATTAAGAACATTTTTAGATTCTGATGTGGCGCATTCGTAAGAAGCCCACAATAGGAGAAAAAATACATGTAATTTACGTTAAGAATATAAAAATGTTGTTGCATGAGGCCCAATGACTGGAAATTTTTTACAGATGAGTTACAGATTCCTAATGGGGAGTGATGCTAAATGTTTGGCTTATCACAACTCAGTGATCTCCGTGTCACACAAAAAATGTGCAGACAGAGTTAAAAAAAAAAAAAAAAAAAAAAAAGGTGTGCATGGGGTGAGGCCTGCAAACCTGACTCAGTTCTAACAATTCTATGTGGAGAATTAAACCAAAATCCCAACAAATAAAGTTAGAAGCTTATGGAAAGATACCCTAAAGATGTAATCCCAGTCATACAACTTAAAAAGAAATTCTACTAAATGTTAACAAACATGGATTTAAACATGTGAATTTGGAGAGAGGAAATTAAATCTCTTATAAAGAAAGTCAAAAAGAGAGAAACGACTTAAATGGTGAAAGCTGTTGGATCACAAGTTGAACCTAGTTGTTTGCACACTCCTTTTTCACTTTGACCTTATCTTATCAGAGTATTTGCTTAAATTCCTTCACACACACACATTCGATTGAGTTGCATTCCTTTAATTACTAGGGTTTTTTAGGATGGGGACCCATCCTCTTTTCCATAAGCTTTAAAAGTGGGTTTATAGGAATTTTTAACAATTATTTATCATTGTATCTGATCTTTCACATTTCTGAGGTCAAACACTGACAAGAAGGTCCTGCTCATAGTGTCCACTTTAATTCAGAGGTGTTCTAATAGGCCGAAGTCAGGATAACATGCAGACCGGATAAGACCTTCCACATCAGACTTGGTCATTCATGTTCTTAACCTCATCAATGAAGTTCTCAACAAATTGTTTTCAAGTTAATCTGAAGACCATTTACAGTAACACTAATAAGTAATTATTTATAACATATTTTATATTTTAAAAAATTCTCCAAGTCCCACAGTCAATAAAAATGTAATAAGATAAGAAGGAGGTTATAGTCAATACTAAAATTAACAAAGCTAATAAGAGCAACCCTTTTTTTACTGACTGCTTGTAGATCAAATGCTGGATTCTAAACGCGTAGCTATGAAAACAATCCAAACACCTTAAATCAAAGATTTTAGCATCAGAGTATATGTTGTGGGTTTTTGTGGACTAAAATTTAATTCCAGTAATTGTTTAACCATGAATGCAAGAACAGGACAGGAATCCACATGGGTGAAATCAAGGTAGAGCGAAAGGGGCCCATTTGGAGAAGGTGCCCCCCCTAATCCAGTCTGTTAACAGGATCTGGTTTTGGCCCTAAGCTGCAGAAGAACCCACATGAAAAACCAGCTCTGATACACTTTTGTAAACCATGTAAAAAGGGGTTCTGATAGTGATGGTAGACATGTCTCAAAAGAAGAGGGAAAGCACAGATGGGAGGTGGATTTCATATAGAAAGTGTTGGTTTTCATCCAACAAAACCAACACTCAAAGATGAAGAGAAGCTTTGCAAGCTTCACTAACACACCTGTGTGCTTTTGATTTAAGCTTTTTATTTTAAGTAAAATAGTCAGAAGAAACAAATATTTGACTACGAAAGCCTTTTTCTACCTCTTATGTAACTTTAGGTTCCCTTAAATCATTCCTAGAACTGAAAATGTATGGATCATTTGCTCCTCTCATACACATTCCCAGTTCATTAAATACAATTATCAGATTCTCCAGTCTGATCAGATTGTATGCTTGTGTTTCTCCTTGTTTGGTTTGCTATTTAATGGTTAGTGGTTTATTTAATAAGCGGTTAGCTAATGGAATGTGTATTTTTCTTTCCCCTTCTTTTGTTTGCATGTCTCCTGTAATCTGTTTTAAACTCATCTACATCCCTTGATATCCCATTTTTATTTTTCTCTGCCCATATGCCATAATAATCATATCATTCCTGTCCCCTCCCTTCCCTCCCACATTCCCCTGTCCTTCGTCTGACTCACCTGAATTAAAGTTCCCATGATGCACGGTGCCACCTCCACTGTTTCGTCGGCCTCGACCCCCGTCACCAATGTTCCTTTCGCTGAATCCGCCACCTCCAATCAGGTTTGCTCTCTCATGTCAGTTCTGTTTTATTCTAGCTCTGTAGGTCAAGCTCACTGTCTCATTTTATTTATTCGGTTAAAGAACCATCTGCTTGTAAGAAGTTCTGTTTACATTTCATTTTTCGTCACTTTTCAGTGTTTTGTCAAACAAGCAACGAAAAACTTGAAAATCTTGCTATCAAATAAGAATATCCCATGGCACACTGCTACTTTATGGATTTAATTATCGTCAAGTTCGATGCACATTATATGATAACCTAGGGCTGGACACTAACTCAGTAGCAATATGTATCATATATATTCATATATTATTCAATAAAGAAGACATGAAATTTCTGATATTTTAATACAATTTACAAGCTATACTAATGGCATTTGTCACTGACCGACTTTCCCATCTTCCTGTTTCGCTTTTTTTTTAAAGCATGCATTTCAAAAGTTATATATAGGAGGAGTTTTATAAGCATGCCAAACTAATTGTTATTTAGTGTGTGGAAGCATCTCTGGTTGGGCATTCTTGGTAGTCTTTCTGAGGCTTTTGTTTTTTTTCATGGATATTGTTATTATATCATATTGACTGAAATTAAGAAATATATTATGAGATCATGTTTGGCCATATCGTCCAGCTCTAGGTTCACCATTTATCACTGAGTCGCCTACAGCTTGTGAAAATAAGCAACTTTTTCAGCTTTTGACAGCTTATGTCAAACAATAAGCTAATACAATTCAGCCAAATGTCCTTGTTCAGCATCGTTAGTCCACATTTAAGCAAATAAAGAAATAATTTATTAGGAAAAATAAGTAAGTTTGAGTCGATATTATTTGTCAGTGTTGCCATAGGTTAGCACAGTAAGAGAAGAATAATCAATGCTCAGCCCTGATGCTTTGTGCTGCAGTTTGTTTGACAAACAGGACAACTCATCCCTAACAGGAGTTGATTTAAGAATCCAAACGTTAATGCTTTCCTTTTTTTGTGGGGGAGCATCACTTAGAACACGAGGAGCCTCTTATGCTTCTCATGCCAAACCTCTTAAGTTCTTGCGGTTCCATGTTCCACATGATTCTCATAGGGGCAAAGTATATCATCAACTAAAATAAATTCATCATAAAATGTTTTAAATTTTTCAATGCATTTTCATGTGAGAAAAAAAAATTATTTGTGGCCACTGGCTTAAATGTTTGGGAACCACTGGCTTATCTTCCTATGTGATATACCTAGCGGGGTTTTATTACCTTTAAAAAGAAAATACCTCCTCTAAATTGTTAACGTTTTTAATTATTTTGCTTACATTGACAATAATTCTTTCATACTGTACTGTCTTATTCATAGTTTAAATGATTTGTTTGTTTAAGATGTCCCGTACCAATCTGCCAGGACTTTACAGAGCAGCCATATTTCTGCTAAGATTAAATTACTTAATATTGAATTGTTGTTCATTTAGATTGCTTCTGAAATCAAGTACTTTCACTAGATTGTATTTAGAGCCTGCTGGTGTAGTAGGGGCTGATTATATTTGCCTGTTACTTTTTTAGATTTTTAATTGGAAGAAGAAAAAAATTAAAACCAGCTGCTATTTTTTTTCTAAAGCATTACCTTATGACTGATCCCAAAATGAAATACCAAGAAGATTCATCAGGGCTTGTAGCTGTGGTAGCTTAATAAAGATGGTGTTTTACTCCACATTCTCATTTAACTGGTCCATAGTTTTCTTACATGAGTAGAGAGAGATATAAAATGTTAACACTTAAGCTCCCTCCGATCCTGAAAGATCCAAAAGCCATCCCTCTTATACAGGTGTGAATGCACAGGGCCTGCAGTGTGAATAGAGAGAAAAAGACCCTAAAATTAAACCAGTTGGTTGATATGGCGCAAGCTTAAATGATATGATGATCACTTGGCCTATATTACATTTCATTCCCTCCCTCCTCTTCCATAAATAACTTGATGTTTAAACTAGATGGACATTATGAGTAGTTCAGGTCTGTTAGCATCCAGGTTAGTGCATTTTAACTGTGGTCAAGCTAATTTTCCATGACTTCATTGGATATTGAATCCAAGCATCATCCGTAGAGACCGGAGGACTAGGTCAGATAATCAGATTTAACCACTACTTAAATTATTCCAATAGTTAAAACTTGTGGACTACAGCTGTAAGGAAAACATGAATAAATCATTCCCAATTTGATTTGTAAACCTATCTTTGTATCTTTATTTATCATCGTTTCCTTTCACACTACCTCAGGATCATTTCCAAATGAACTAATTTATAAAATTTGGCAAATGTTTTAAGCATAATTTATTTTTCATATTCTGCACATGATGACCCACACTTATTTGAATATTTTTTTAAGGGGCAACAATTAAGGGTAGATAAGTCCTCAATAAGGCTCAATTTCCTCTATAGTTTGGCTCCAAGTTAAGGCAAGCTGTAATTAATGTGTATGAATGTGTGTGTTCTTGTGAATGCAGATGGGTGAATGTGGCTCTTCTGTCAAAAATGGTCATTTAGACTAAAAGGGTGCTTTATGAATTAAATCCATTAACAATTTGATCAATGTTTCTTAAGGTGTTTTGAATTTCCTTTTAAAGGCCTTGTCTTGCAAATCACTTTACCTGATCATTAAAGCAAAATTAAAGAGTAGACATAGAGTTACTAAAGGGCATACATATTACACACAGTTTTTTTCACTAAATTGTCTGTGTTGATTAAAAGAGACTCATCACTTTGAGTTCGGGAGTCTTTTTATGTCTATGTTAAGTGGTTTACCAAACCAAAAAACATCCAAACAAATGGTTGGGTACTGGACTGATTCCACAGAAATCAGATGAAATATTAAGAAATACAAAAATAAAAGTCTGTCCTTTCATGCAATGGAAATTACTTTATCAGGTCAACCTATGGTTTGATGCTGGACTGTTAGAAATTGTACTTTTGTTTTGCCCTCATTGCATTTCAAATTGAGCCCAAACAAAGATGTTGATAGTTAGATCTGGTTAAGCATTTTAGCTACCTTTTAATTTAGTTTTAGATAGAAGGCATAATACATTACTCCTTTTTGGATCTTTCGCTACAACTGGAAATCAACTGAAAATTGAGGAAAGGAGGATTGAATTAAACGCACCTATATTATATTATGATATGTATATAGTAGTAAACCTGTAAGAACTATGAACTGTAGAGGGGGTAACACAGCTTGTTGGAATGAGAGTGACATAGTGCGAAGCTAGCAGAGGTGTGAACAGAGCAGAGGAAGCATGTCCTTTTGACCTGTGATATCTTGATCAGCAGGATCAGTTGCTGATAATGGCATGTTAGTAATGGTGCACAACACTTTGCCTAAATTTTAAGCACTGAGCATGTCTGAGGTGCAGGCTTGCATGAGAGTCCAACACAGAGTTTAGAGTTTTGTCAAGCATTAGCTCTAATTTTAGGATGTTTGGCTCTGCAACACTGGTTGCATTATCTGAAAATGAACATCAGCCCATGATCTTAGTGTGTTGAGTTGTATAATGTATTTAAAGTCAGATAGTGGAATTCACTTATGACTTCAAAACTACACACCATTCAGCATCTCACTTACAGGCAGATAAACCTGATTGCTACTGTATGTCAGTTGGACCACTAGATGCAATTATGATTTTAGAAATTGCTGATTGTCATGAAACCTCATTGTTCCTTATTTCTCTCTGCTTCCTTCAGTAGACTCCTCAGAGCTTCTGACTCCTGAACCGGTGGAACTGCAGTGCGTTCCCATGGAAAACCATTTCTGCCCTGTCCCAAAACTGCTGGTGGCAGCTCCAGTGGGAATAAACTCAGTAAGCCTTTCACGAAACCCCAGTTAGAGTTCCTGAAAACCTGCAGCTCTGCAGCAAACATGTGCCTCTCCCACAGTGCACACTGAATGAGTGTCAGTGTGAAACTTCTTATACAATGTTTATAAGATTTAAGAAAAAAAAAACTGCAATACAAGCCTGAACATAATAACGCTGCTTTACTGCAGCCATAAAGATGCATACTGACGCGATGAGCAATAGAGCTCCCTCGTTCTGACAGCCATACATGACCACACTTAAACGTGGGCTCTTTAACATACATGCATTCAAGACTAAATGCCCTTTATGGGTTGCAGCCATTTCCTGAGGCAGCCCAACCCACCTGACTGATCCAAAGTATGAAAAGTTCTCTCTGGATATTCAGAACATTGGAGCTGCAAACGGACCTGCTGATGGTCTACAACCATGACTTGTTTTAAAAAATGAAAGAATGTTCCATAACGTGTCACGTTTATGTTTCAGGATGACTAAAATCATATGTGTTGCACCATGTGTTGTATATTGTTCAGTTAATTCTCATCTGATGCCTGATGACATGTCAGAAAGAAGCTGTTGAAAAATAGTTTGTGCCTTTGAGTATTCTTCTGAGCAGCAGAGAAAACCGGCTTTCTTAAAAAAATATATATTTAAAAAATGTTCACAGCAAAGATGAATTGATGTCCATATTTAGAATTAAAGGCAATATCAACTACAAGTGTGTTGCATATCAGCTAGGGGCTTCAAATGGAGGCAGATTTTGTTAAACTGTTATGATATTATGGTTGTGTTTCAGTAACTAGGATTTAAGTTAAGTTTTGCCTAGTTATAATTATAATTTTTTGGACTGAAGCAGCAAATTTACTTTAATATAAAGCATTGTAATGATATATCAAATTAGGATGCAATGGGTTTAAACTTTAAGAGTATTTTATTTTCATTCACCTTTCACATCAGTTTAAAACAAATTTCCAAAACAGAAGAACATGGGTTGATCACAGCAATGTTCTCCAAAAAGGGTATCCCATCTGTTCCCTCTCATTCTGCAGAATTTCCTTTTATTAGCACAAAACTGAAGGACACTGTGTTTTTGGTAAATTGTAATTGTTTGTTTGTTTTTGTTTGTTTTTGCAGTGCATCTTGGCTATAAACCTTATATAAGTGTATGGTTAGTTTATCTCAATGAAATTGTGCCCCATTTGTAAGGAAACTGCACCACTGGGTTAATAGGCAATGTTGAATATGTTAGTTTCTCAAATTCTCTTTGCCAGTACGTCAGCAAACTGCAGCTAACATCTCACTGTTCACATTAGTTTACAATCTATCATTAGATTGGATTTTTAGAGGTTTAAGAAACAAGACATATTGACAATTTAACAGAAGTTCAGTAAGGTCTGAGAGCCGCTTGGCATCTCCTCCCCATGCTGGTCACCATCTTGGTCACACACTGCTGTAGTATAGCCTCTTATTCTTCAACCATAATTTTTTCCAAGTCAGCCAATTTGAATGGAAATATAGGATTAAACTCTGGTTGCAGAATTTACTTTTAATATGCGTCTACATCAAGATGTTCCTCTACTGATGACAACGCCCTTATATTTCCACCACAAAGAACTGGTTGGTACTTGCAGAGGAGATGTTTCATTTAAAGCAGGAATGGGTAACTCCTTTCCTCAGGGGCTGGGATGTGTCCCTGCTTTAAAACACCTGAATCCAATAGTTAAATAATTACCAGGACCCTGGAGAACCTGAACACTAAGGACATAATTCAGACAGTTGATTCAGGTCTGCAAGGCTGAGGACACCTTGAGGTTGCAGGACACTGGCCCTCAAGGACTAGAGTCCTGGATTTAAAGGAAACCCAGGCTTTCCAGCAATATAAGACTACAAGCATTTGACCAAACAAAAGTTTATACAATACAGTATGAAGTAATAGTGAGCAAAATTGTGAAATTGAGAGTAACTACAGGCAAAATATATTTAATATTTCTCCAACTGGAAACCCAAACCTAATGTTAGTGTCATTTATGTATATTTATCAGTTTCACTATAAACATGCGATACTTAAAACCAAGAAAAGATAATTTTTTTAGTAAGAAGGTAATTTTTAATTATTGTAGATATTTGACTACTTATAGTTGGATCCGTTTTTTTAAGGGTCTAGATAAAATGTTTTTCATTCTCATCAGCAAGAAAACCACATTTTATGAAAAAAGGCTTGTTGTATTAAGTTAAAGGATATGAGCTATCAAGTCAGCTTTTTGTTATAAGAAGCTTGTATTTATTCTTGAATTTAAAGTAAAAGTAATAAAGCAGGATTAATTAACCCTACTCTTTTTCCATTTTAGGACGTTTATAATGGTTTATAGAAAATCTTGGCTAATCTATTAAAATCTGACCATCTATATCAGCTGCTCTTCCTGGTAGGGAAGATTTGTACCACTGTTAAATTAGAACAGAAGGCCACTCAACATCCCTCACAGGCGGTTTAAAAGAATCATATAAACCAAATATCTGTATTATTCATTTATCCTTTTAAGCTAGTCAGGCCAAGACTCCTCCTCTTAGTTCAATATGATGCTATGCCTTTCGTTTGGCCTGCTAACAGATATAGTTTGCATTTAAACTGAAGGCTGAAAGCAACTGCAGCTTCTTTTAGTCTCCCAGCAACAAGCACAAATGAGTCCAGGTGCAATTTGGAGTGGTTTCCACCCTTCTAGGGCTGGTCATTTCAGCAATACCTTTTGCAGTTTGCTAGGGGCCTAAACTTACCTCTGTATTTATCAACATGGTGGGTACAGATTGGTTGTAGCAGGTGCTTCAGCGAGAAAAGAACTCAATAACAACTGGCTGCAACTATGATGCTGATGGTTTAACCTTTCTAGTTCTTATTCATCTACCATTTGGTGAGAATTTACTTGCTGACCAACCTAATGGGAGCACAACATGCCCATAAGACCTAACCTACTCGTCCCTGCAACAGGTTTCAACTTTGCCATTGCTTTTTCGGTGCAACTTTAGTCCTTGCTGAACAGGAGCTAAGAGATAAAGATACAATGAGTGAAAAGTAAACTGCCTTAATAAATCTTCTACATTCTGGGGCCTGTCTCTGTTACGGATTAGACTGCTCGGTTATTAAACATCTTTATTTTTTTACATTGAGATTGTCTGCTCTGTTGTAAATTTTGTTTGTGAGGGATGATGTTGTAACGGCTGTAAAGAAAGGGTTAGTTTGTCTTTATTCCTCCAGTATTTTATTTTAAAGAACATACTTGTGTCTTCAACATTAATCCTATAATAACACAATTAGGATCTAATCAGCTCAATAATTGCAAACTGTTAGCACTGACACCTTTTTTTTCCATCTGATGTCAGCCATTGCACAAGACAGGAGCTAGATCTGTTTCCTAATGTTGTGCCTGAAGTCTGTATATGCAAGATGTTGCCCTTTTATTGCAATACCTTAGTCAATTCCTCCAAATAATGCATAAATGTTCAATGCAGAGAACCATCTTAAAAAGGAAATTTCTTTGTGGTTTGATAAGTTTAAAGCTGCTTTTTATGTAGAAAAGTGGCTCATGATTATTATGTAAAGGCACTTCAGGGAGAAATCTTAGAACTTGAAAATGTCGTGTCGGACTTTACATCATCACTTTGAAGAGAGACAATGACGGAAATAAATTAAAAGTTAGGAATGAAAAACACCTGTTATTTTCAGTGAGATGAACTGCTTTGTTTGTGTGTAACACTGAACTTGAAAACTGAATGGAAACTGCTTTCATCCAAATTCAGATGTGCCTCGTTCAAGTCTCCTTAAACCATCACTGGCAAAACACTGTAAGAATGAATCAACGCTTAAAGATTCCTCTCCCATTTAGTATGTTGTTACTGTTACAAGAAACCACATCTAGTTTCTCAGAGACAGCTGTGCTGTCTTATCGTCAGTGTAAGAAATAAATGAACCAGTGATTAGTAGGTAAAATTGGTTGTTTTTAAATGCTGCAGATGTTTTGGCATTTTCAACTGAACATTATTCATTTAAGATCATGTTGATGTGTTGTGAATGTACCTAATGCAAAAATTATACATGTGCCCCCCTTAAAGAAAGGCATGCTGACATGTTACTATCACCATATATAAACTATTTCAGAGGTACCATGATGATACTGTGTTAAGATGTATAAACTGTATGTATTGTTATATAGATTTATATTTAATGTCATTACATGGTGTGGCTACAAAAAATATTTTTCAACATTTAATTCTAAAGATCTAAACAGGTAATGTATCAGTAAGAATTTTTTTTAGAAATGTTTTCATCAATCAACTCACATATGTCTCCCTTTGGACTTTGCTTTGCAATTCAGCGTTCAAACTCAGTTTTACACGATGGGCTGCAAAAATACTAAGAAGCGTGTGTTTACACACAGTTTAACATCTGATCTGGACTTTTATTAGAAACAAAAACAGGCTGAGATACAAGGATGGGGGGCATTTGAGTTTAGTATGAATGTAGGCACAGTGTTTTTAGCGCACAGCTTGTAAAACTGAGCCTGATGGCACAGAACATTTAAATCAACTAGAACTAGATTTAATGTCAAAGCTCTGTGAAACTGAAGTTGTGGATATTGAAAAAAAAAAGAAAAAACCTGCATTTGTAAAAAAAAAAATTCTGTTGAGATCCAAAACTTTTTCTTAAGCACGTTTTCTTTGGTTGATGCCATGTTTCACGTCACATGTTCTTTTTCTGCCTGTATGAAGTGTAACAACATGCACTAAATACTCATCTACGGTACATATTTATTGGACAATGGGAAAGTCAGCGTGGCACCTTTTTTTTTTTTTTTTTAGGACTGAACGTGGATTTGAACCAATAAATAAACTTCAGTGTCATTAGATGAAACACTGAGGTTCCCTCAACTTTCAGTAAATCTATTGGTATGTGTTTCTTAAACTAAAATTCCTATTTACTCGGGAGAAACTCACTTTAACTGTCCATCTTAACAGTGCATCCTTAGCACCACTATGGGGATATCTTTTTTTTTTGTTTTGTATTTGAGGAATACAACCCAGCTATTTAAAAGCAATAACACTATCAAAAAAATATCAAATCTGATCTTTTGGTTTCAGCCCCATTTGAACTTCACAAAAACTTACCTGTATCTAGATTATCTGAAACTTTACAGCATCTCCAGCAATTACTGGCATCAATGGTAAAGAGTTTTTTGTTGTTTTTTTTCTCTGGTTTAAAAATTAACCTTTAAGTTTGAGTTTAATTTACAGAATCCCATATATTTTTACCTGTAAGGTTTGCAAATGACCAAAATGCAGGGTAAAATCCCCATGAGACCCCATTATAAAAGTTTATCTTCAAAATAGAGTTGATTTTGGGTTGATGTCCACTTTAATTAGCCCAAATTGTGGAAAATTGAAAACAATTGAACAAAGACAAATTGATGTTTCCACTATTGATGCAGAGAAGGAAAACAAAACAAAAAATCTCTTTGAAAACGAGTGAATATCAGGATATAGTGGCCATCAGGTCTTGATAACAGAGATTTATTTCAAGGATTTTGTGCCAATATTTGAGGCTGATGCTTTGGTTCTTTACTATTAATCAAACCATAAGGTCTTTAGAGGCCTGTCAGCTCTACTGAGCTGCATATATGTTAACCTCAAAGATCATCCTGAAGTCCACAACAGTCAGTTTGTTTAAATTCAACAGCTGTGCAAAACTGAAGAAAATAGCCGCCATTCTAGCTGCTCCCTTTCTCAGGCTACTTCCACCAACTTTATTTAATTTTCCTGACGGTCCATCATGAATTACAAAACATTAAATTAAAACTGCTTAATTTTTTCAGCCACATTATGAAGTTGTGAGATATTAAAAATAAATGCCATGCCTAATAATTATCTTTTATTTCTTTTTTACACAAACAAAACAAGATATAAAAATAGTTTAGATATGAATTCACATAACATAGCTAGACTCTACCAAACTGAAGAATAAAATAAATCAAAAATCACTGGCAACAAATTAACAACATGGCTACCTTCCTATTATCATACTTTTTTTTTTTCATTCTCATAAACCTGATTTGTTTGGGGGGAAAAAGGAAAGTCAGATTAGCTCGTGTCGTGTTTAAATATATTATATGGAGAGGTTAATCCTTGTGATTTCCAAACTGTTTTTATTTTGTTTGGTTTTGTTGAAAATAAATTTTTGTCTTCTTGTTTATCTTTTTTTTTTTTTTTCAGAAAAAAAGTACTTTAAAAGCAAACACTTATTTGTCAGGGAGGTAAAAAGGCTTTTTGGACAAACTTTAGAGTCAAGCTAATTCACCTCCTGTAGACCAAACTGTCTTTGCACTGCAGAGCTTTTGTTGGTGAGCTGACTTTTCAGTCCAGAAGTCTTTCGATGCCCAGCTGTGCTGGGTGATGTCTCTCCTGGCTAAAATATACAAGAATGTCTGATATTCACCTTGTTTGCACTTATGTACATAAATACTCCAAATTTATTTTGAATAATACAGATAAAACAGATGACTAAAAATAATCAGTGTATTGTTAATGGTGTGTTTATTGTTTATTGCAGCGTGAAAATATTTGAGGTATCTGTTTGTTTGTGTGTTAGTGATGACATGCACTCTATACTATATATGATTTGCTCTCAAAAAAAATTCAGACCCATTTATATTGAAAAGAAGAGGTGGATTACTACAAAATCTGCAATAACTTAAGGAAATTAATGCTACCATTGCTCTTGAATTAATGTCATTATTGAATACATGTTACTTTACCTACAGTAGGCTAAAAATAACCAGAAAAAAAGCAGGTCGGAAGATTTAAAATCAGACTTGAAGATAATGCACAACAGATGTGCTTAAAGGGTTTAAATCTAACATTCATTTCTGCAATTTTACTGCTGATTTTATTTTTACATAAACTTTTGTTTGTTTTTTTCAGAAAATAACATGTCAAGGGTTTTTTGTTTGTTTAGTAGTTGTTTTTTGTGTGTTTTTTTGCTAGTAAAGCCAGAAATTCTGCTGCCATGGCTCCAGGCCATGTTCTGGATTAACTGTCCACCTGAACTGATTCACAGCTCTATGACTGTTTGGTGTTCAAATAGATCTCTTATGATTAAAGTATACTCAGACTCCCTTAAAGCTTCATTATTGTGACTCTGTGGTTCCTTTAATAACCTCGATCTCACAATACTGGGCCTTTTTTTTTTTTTCTCTTACACTTAGAGTTGAATAGTTTTCAAGTTCATGTATTGTCTGTCACCATATCCTCCGCTGTTAATGTGCCTTCATCGTACAAAGAGTAATTTTTATGTTTAATTCACAAAGGTAAACTGAATGTGTGTATAAGTAATTTTAAGTCGTTTGTCTCGTGTGTCATTGCATCTTAGTATAAGTTGAGTGCAGCAATCACAGACTGAGTTTCGGCCTATCTGAGATGAAAAAGGCCTAAAGCTGTTGAGGACTAAGCCATAAGAAAATCATTCTTGGACGCTTTAGGAGGGACGAACTGCTGCTCCTAAATCATCGATCATTTCATTCAGCTTTCTGCTTGTGGTACTTGTATGTGCTACTGTGCTCCACGCAAATTAATTTGCACTGTATAGGTATTAAGAGTTAATATGTGCCTATAATCAGTTCTGCTGTTTCTGTTTGACCTTAAATAAAACGACACATGGTAATCCTGTCTGAGTTTTTGGTTTTCAATCGTAAACTGTTTGCTCTACATGCGTATTATCTGATTTTTACATTACTATATCAACATTTTAGCCATCTTTGATTTACCTGTATTTGTAATGAGCCAGATTTGTTTCCAAGGGTTAAAGCAATACAGGGCAAGTTTATTTGTATAGCACTATTCAATATAAAGACAATTACAGCTGTACATGAATTAAGCAATAAAATAGAAGGAAAACAAAAGCAAGTAAAGATAAAATGCATGAAACATTAAACTTATTAGTAATGGTCAACCTTGATGACTGTTATTCAAAAGCCTTAAGAGTTTCTAAAACCTTTAAAGAATTTGAAAATTCTAGAGTGGTTAATGGGTGAGAAAATCTGCAATTAAACACATTTAAAAGGCATTTATTAGGTGCTCTCCCACAGGAGCGGGTACAGGGTGCACGTGCATATTTTTTAAAGTGGAGAGGGCGGGTCTTTTAAAAAAATTTTTGAAAATCCTCTGCAATGCCTTTAAATGGAGGGCCAAGTATAAGTCAAGAGAATTATCTGTAGACCTCTGAGGCAGAGACAAATCAGGAGGATATATAAAAGGTTCTGTTGCTTTTGAGGTCTGAATGAGTGTAGTGCACTGTATTGTTTGTAAATCGAAAAAGTTTAGAACCATTAGGATCCTACTTGGAACTAGCAAGCCATCTAAAGTGAGCGATTAGGGTAGAATGGCATTGGTCACCAGAACTCCATGGTCTCTCTGTCAGAGCTCCATCATTCCTCTATAGAGAGAGAACTTTCTAGCTTAGAATAAGTAAATTCTTAAGTGCACTGGCTGATTTTAAGTATGAAATTAGTGCACTTTTAGTATACTTAAATAAACTATTTTTTGCTAAGGGATATGTTGTGAATTGGCGCTATAGAAATAAACTGCATTGAAAATATCCCATCAGAGTGACGTCATTCCCAAATCTGAGCTCCAACTTCCGTTAAAAAAAAAAAAGTACTGAGCCCTGCAGAGGCTTTTATTGTGAAAAGCTGCCTCGATGCGGAAGTACACTATTGGCGTCAAGAAACCAGTTGGAGGAAAAAGATTTTCCTCCTGCTGGTAAAACTGCTCCACTCCGAGTCTAACAAAGACCGAACAAGCTACGAATTTGTCGCCGATGGACCGTTGGAAAACTGTATAATTTGTAGGAGGCGCGGCTGCCCATTCGGCGGGCCGGTCCGGAACCAGAACCAGGCCCCGGACATAAGCGGCTCTGCGATAGCGGAGGGCTGATGTGTGGGTGAGCAAAGTGGCATGCCGTGGTTAGAGGAGGTTAAATGTGGATCACCGTGACTCGCTGTCTGTAGGTAGGCGGCGGGTTCTCCAGCAAGTCCAGGCCGACCTGCGGTGCGTCGGATCGGCTGTGAAGCTCCGGGATGGCTCAGCTGGAAGTCAGCCAGACAGGAGCTAGCTTCACCGTGAGCTAACATCGGAGTTAACCGACATCAACTTTGAGTCGCGCGCAGGCCCAGAGAAAGAGAGACAGAAAAAACACAAAATATGACTATCGGAGCGGGGTTTCTGTAAGTTACGGGGTTTGTTTTTATTCCGCTTTACTTGTCCGCGTTTCCTTCAGGCCTGCTCGGTGTTTATGGAGCGAGTATAGCTGCGCCGTTAGCCAGCCTCCACCGCCCCAATGAAAGAATACAAAGTTGTCGTGCTGGGCAGCGGCGGCGTCGGGAAGTCCGCGCTCACCGTGCAGTTTGTCACCGGCACCTTCATCGAGAAGTACGACCCGACCATCGAGGACTTCTACCGGAAGGAGATCGAGGTGGACTCGTCGCCCTCCGTGCTGGAGATCTTGGACACGGCGGGGACGGAGCAGTTCGCCTCCATGAGAGACCTGTACATTAAAAACGGCCAGGGTTTCATCCTGGTCTACAGCCTGGTCAACCAGCAGTCCTTTCAGGTACCTACAGCCCATCTGTGCTGCTTCTCAACACTCACTGTCATATTAAACATTTGCAGGCGCCATTATTAGGAATTGTGGGGTTAAATGTGCAAAATATAAAACAAAGTTGTTGTTTTTTTTAAACCTGATTGAGCCCCTGCCTAAATATAATGAATCACAAGAGTTTAATCCATGCACATATCTCCTCTGGCCAATACCAATTACTGATATTTCTTTAATGCACACTCAGGTTATTCTGATTTTATTTTATTTTTTGTCCCGATGTTAACCTGTCACAAATTAGTTTATCCAGATTAGGGAATGAGGATGTGGATTTTAAACTTTTCCTAACTGAAACTTTTTTTTATATTCATTGCAAAGGAGATTAATAACAATCTACATTTTTAGTTACAGATCTATTCGCTGCACAGTGCAAAAACCCCACAAATACTGATAAAAGAAAACATGACGTCAGAAACACTGTATTAATATTATTATAGTCATTTAACTGATCAATCAATACATTTTCATGATGATTTGGATAACCCACTAATATATGTTAGTGCATACTTACAGATTTATTTTATTTTTTTACATCTCTTTGTAATTATGCCTAATTGGTTTACCTTTGTCTTACTAAAAAAGAAGAAAAAAAAGAAAATTAAAAACAATCCACTGGATTTTGTTTCCAAGTTTGAAGACGTTTCGCTTCCCATCCAGGAAGCTTTTTGAATTATTTCTCATACTGGCGTATTATTCCAGGGATGTATTTCCCAAAATGGAGTGAAATATGTCATCCAGGTATTAGTCATTCCAAAAAAAAAAAAGAAAAAGAAAGAGAAAATTAAAAACAATCCACTGGACCTTGTTTCCAAACTTTTCTTTTGTTTTTTCCACCAGCACCTTTGTCTTATCAGTGAAAAATTAGTGTAATACGTGGAGGATTGTGTAGAATAAAAATGTAAATTGAATGTCCTGAATTCATTTCTGTCATATGGTCATATTTAAAAAATGCACCTTGGCTTCCCCCCAGTAAATGTGTCTAATTTTACAGCTCTTCGTTTTAGCATACTTTTAAACATATTTATATTCAGTGTGATTAATGTGTAAAACTTATCAAAAGATAAAACTTTTATCAGAAAGCTGTAGTCTATCACTCTTAGAGTATTTATGTTTAGGGCAATAGAAGTTACTAAGCAAAGAAATGATTATGGTACATATTGATTGCACAAAAAAGCTAAGTCATTTTTAAAAAGTTTTAGTTTTTAGGATCTTTTTTTGCCAAGATGATTAAAGCTGTTGTTATCTGATCCAGGAGCTTTAACCAGGAGCTGGTCCATGTGCTCACACCTTCTTCTTCTTTCCTTTTAATACCGGTATTAGCATTTTGTACCAACCTTCTCCAACGTGCTGAACTAATCCTAAAGAAATCAGCCTCGGAGTAATGGTTACACTCTACTTGGTTTCTGAATGCAAATAGCTCTGATGACAGAGACGCTTCTGCACTCAAAATCTGACATGTCGTTTGCCTTCAGGTCACATTCTGAGTCATGTAGGAAGTTAGGAAAAACAACAATAAAGCTAAATATCTGCTGTTTTAAATATTGGGCAATTACCATTCTTTGTCCTTTGCGATAGAACTCAACCAATATATATTTTTTATATCCAAATGCGATCCCCATCATTTTGACAGTAACTAAACCGAGCCTTAGTATCTGCTTTTTTCCCCCCTTCTAGTTACATGATAAAATAACCAAATTAAGGAGAAAGAATTACAAATTTCTCATAAAAAAAAAAAAAAACATTTATTTACAAATAAAACAAAACATGTTTAGAAATGACAGCAAATGGAGGCAGCGGCAATCTGTGCACTTTACAGGATCTCAAGGAATGGTTGCTTTGGCTAACCTCTTTTTTATTTATTCTCCTACAGAGTCCAGTTAAGCGTTTTTTGTTTTCATTTTGTTTTTTCTCACTTAAATTCATAATTAGAAATAGCAAATGCCCTGTACTTCCTTGGAGAAAAAAAACCCCAGCTCAATCATCCCCTCTTTGAGGTGACCTTAATTTAAATGACAAACTGAGAAATATGCTTGTAAAATAATCATGGTTCACAACAAACAATGCAAATACAATAAACTAAATGTTAGCGGCTGGTGGTATTACACATTTAGCAGGTTTATCAGCGATAAGTACACATCCAAGAACAAAAGTGATTAACCGATGTCGCTCTAAGCTATGTAAGGACAAGGAGACCATTAGAATAAATAAATCCAGCTTTTCCAAAAACGAAACCACAAAAAAGAAAAAAATCAATCGGTTTTAGCGATTAATCAACCGATTCTATTAGAGATAGGCGGATACATTGGCCAGATAGATATTTTTTTTGTCGCTAACCTATTCATTACCACGAATTAGCAGCCTTGCCTTTATATTCATAATCACCTCTTGCTGCCCCCTTCATCTGCTATATTTTATTTGCTTTCTTCATTCTTCGGAAATGTAATATCAGCCTAAAGAATCCAAAAAATCATCAAAAATCTGCGTTAGGTTAGACTGATTGTGTTGGTCGATCTGCAATGCTGATGCAACAGAAAAAATATAGGTCTGGTTGTATATTTGGTTCATCTCTACTTTGGATCGTGGCAAATGGAAGAAAAATGTGTTGCATGTTGTCTGATTGATGTCATAGTTTAGAATCCTGCAGTAAATAAAGTCATTAAAGGTTTGTCTATTTTTTTTTTTTTTAATTCTACAATCCATTTATTGAGCTCTTAAGAAACTCAAAGTGCCTCACAGCACATCCTGTGGTTGATCTATACATAGATCAAAAATAACAGTACTGAATAATCTACATGCTTTGTTTTCTTTATCCACACCCGTTCATCCCCATCCAGACTTCCTCATTCCTTCTAGTCCTTATGCCTACCACCCTAATCTCTCTCATTCCCAGCCCTTTTATATCCCTGTCTGCTCATATTTATCCATCCCAGTGAATGGGATATGAATGGAGTGTAATGAAGTATTCTGGAGAGGTGGCTTTGTTATTTGAATGTTTTCAAGATGCAAATTTGT